ATGATAATAAGTAGTGAAATTCATCTCCAATTTCACTCGATTGACATAAGGTACAAAACCGATCTTCGTATGGTGTTTTGGTATATGATCACGATGTAATCACATGCTTTGCATGTGTGAGTACCATGATCGATCACGCCCGCAGCGCTCCCGCTCAATTTTCAACCCGCTAACTTTTACATGTTTGACTAAAATATTAATGATACCAAACTTTATCTCTGAGGATGGTCCTGAAATAGAATTGGATGATCAATAACCATCTGATTTATCGAGTTTGCGCTATCCAAAAGATAATGCTTGTGATGTTACTCTGAGTGTATATCCATTATCCACACCGGGCAAGCCCGAAAAATATGCCTGACCACGGTGGGAATTGAACCTATACGACCTTTGGAAAACTAGCCCAATGCTCTACCAACTGAGCTACGCGGTCAGGTCGGTTCGAGTATGTGATATTTCGGAACTGAGTCCAACACAGAGAAAAAAAATATCCAAAAGATATTTTTGGAGAAAAAGTTGTTGTTAAAAATGTAATCCTCCCCGGCGGGGAATCGAACCCCGGTCTCCCGCGTGACAGGCGGGGATACTCACCACTATACTACCGAGGATTTCTGAAGGTCAAGGTCAATAATGTACGGACAGATTAAATTCTATGCGACCCGCAATATTTATTCACTATATTTTATCCTAATTTGAATTAACTAAGCTTCCCTAAGCTCTAGACATCTATATCATTTGTCATAAAATGTTTTCATAAAATCTAGTATTCTTAGCTTGTTGCAGTCCTCAATAGGATCGCCCGTACCTGCAAACGGGCATTCGTGGTCGCTCGGTAAAGAGATCTGGGGACGACATATTCACATATTCAATTTTTTTTTGTCTCCTAATTTTTACTCGTAATAGTGTATTTCTTTCATTGTATGTACATAAATGAAAAGACATTTGGTTGACTTCGAGAAAAAAAATATTGATCAAATTTAGGAAGAAAACTAGATGTTAAAAAAAATAAAAATGTATTCCTCCCCGGCGGGGAATCGAACCCCGGTCTCCCGCGTGACAGGCGGGGATACTCACCACTATACTACCGAGGATTACGAAGAAAGCATCTATTGTTGCAGTATAAATATCTTGCTTCGCTAAAGCTATACAATATGCTAAATTGTTAGTAAATCGGATCACAGATACTATAAACTAGAGGGTAACTATGATAGGGTAACTATGATGGGGTATATCCATAGATATAGTATCGCGAGTCCGTGATTCACTCAATTTCTAGACCCTCTAACTAGAATACTAGATCAGTCGGATCACAGATACTGGCTCATTTTATTACTTACAACATTTCGGAATATATCTCCATTTTCAGGTTTAAAAATAAACTTTTTTAACAAAATTCCACTAGCTAGTGCAAGTAGAAATTTGCGCTCGCGTATAACTTACGCAGATTACCCCTATTAGAGACAGTAAAATTTTGTTATATGTAATATGGCCAACAACTACCGATGTTAACGATATTTTTACATATATTTTGGTCTTCAAAGTATGATTCTCTTTTGCAGTTTGAATAATTTAGCCTGAAAATTCACTCGTTCGTTCAGTCTTCTAGAAGAAACACACTGGTCACTGCTTCCTGTCCCTGGCTATCATCGCCTTCATCGGTAACATGGCGTCCAAAGGCAAAGCCAGTTTATCGCAATCGAGCGCAAAGTTCGACTATGTTGATGATAGTGGTGATTGTCCAACTATGAGACAGAGTTCTTTGGTATTTCTGGCTTGTCTTTGTATAGTTGTGCGAGTTGTTTGTCACGATCGTTGAGACAACCTGAAATATGGGAGACCCGCACTGTAACTAATCAGAGACTAATATGTTTTGTACTCAAAATGTAGTGGGCAATGAAGGAGAAAGACAGAGGTAAGAATGTTACAGTGGCTACAAGGAATACCACTCCGAGAGAACATCTTACAAATGAGGAGGTTGGAAGAAGAGCTGGAATGGAAAGTATGGTCAAGAAAGTAGAAGTAAGAATGAGATGGTTTAGAGATTTCATTAGAAATGAATGAACGAAAATTTGATGGATTTAAGTAATATCATTCCGAGAACATCTTATAAACGAGGAGGTTGGAAAAAGAGCTGGAATGGAAAGCATAGTCAAGAAAATAGAAGTAAGAATGAGATGGTTTGGGGATTTTATTAGAAATGAATGATAAAAAATTTATGGATTCAAGAAATGTCACTCCGAAAATATCTTACAAACGAGGAGGTTAAAAGAACTCAAAGCAAGAATGGTTTGGACATTTGATTAGAAATGAATGACTCCGTTCATACAAACGAGGAGGTTAAAAGAACAGCTGCAATAGAAAGCATAGTCACAACTGAGTAGAGGCAAGAATGAGATGATTTGGAGATTTTTATTAGAATAGATAATATAGAAAATTTGCTACGAGAACATGGAAGGAATCTGCAAGAGGCCGCAAGAGGGGAATGATTTAGATGAATACAAAAGGGTACGATGGGGGTGATGGAATGAAGAAGATTACCTAAAAAGCTGTTGGTGGGATAAGCAGGAGACGGCACACAGTCCGCTTCAGTAATATCATCTGCAGCCACGGGTCCGTCGTGCCAGACCAGGTCGAAATTTCCGACTCGTTTTTCTTTACCAGTTAGTCTAAATTGAAAAAGAGAAGTATATCATCCTTATAGCAAGTCATAGTAAACATCCAAGTAGTGTTATTGCTGCCGAAGGCAGCACTCCTAATCTCGACCCAGTCTTTCGCGCCGATCTATGTATTGTCGAGATCTCGATTTGTGTCTGTCCGGTAAGATGTCGTATTTCCGGGGGGGAACGGACGGGGGGAGTGCGAGAAAAATATTAAATTGCGCGTGCACATGTTTATATGGCTATATGCAAACTTATTCTGGACTGATCTGACTTGATGCAAAATAATAAATATACGAACATTTCCCGAAGAAACCAGGTAAGTATGGCTTTATTTCTTTGTGCTAATATCCATCAAGGCCATGAATTGTTTAGCGTTCATTCTGGAGGCAAGCAATGTGCTTTTATGTCATGAGTTTACGGCGCTTCTTAATACAGCCCGAAATATTCCCATTGTCCGCATGGCCGTTTAGAACATTTGATAATGTCTTATAAATACAAGGAGACAAGATGTACTTAAGAGCTCTGAAGTATTTCATGAATTTACTGGCAGTGTCTAATAGCCCACCAGATCTATTCGTCAATAATGCCTTATTTACGAGTCACAAATATGTGCTCAGTTTTAATATTTGTTTGTTATGTGCCAAGACGATGAGTATAGTGTTCATTTCTAGATGTTTATAGTTTAACAACAAACGTGGAATGTTGTTAAATCAG